ATTTAGCTAACGCCACATTTTAAGTTCCACTTGCAAGCAAGCTCACTACCAACTTGTAAAGTTGCAAATTTTCTCCCGTTCTAACAAGAATTCAGAATTTTTGAGAACTCGCACCTATTATCTAGCACTCCTGATGGGCTGCAGTTTTTCTAAGTGCCGCAATGTGCTGTATTAATCGATTAGCCTACTATATACTCTTCCTCAGAATTCCACCACCTTAGATAAGCCTAGGTTAGGCCTTCTGCCTTGTCTTATCTAGCACTCTTCTAAAGGTTAAGAAGCTTCTACGACTAGCTTTGTGGTTGTTGTTTGTGGAGACAAAGAACCACCACTATATAAACTTTTTCCAGAACAGAGAGTATGAGCAAATTTTCATGAAAAATGTGCTTTTCATAATCAATCAGTAAACAGGTTCTTAGTTGATCAATATTTCCTCTTTTTGTCACTTTTATACTCAAAACTGTTTTAGTTGTAGGGATATCCAAGCTCCACCAGGCACTGCATCCTATCTTATCTCTGACTTCTATCTTTGCTTCAAATATGTGGATAGAGCAAGATTCTGATTTATAGCTAAGGCCGTACCATTAAGTTGAATCCCCCTTACCCAACCTTGATGTAGGCAGTGCGGTGAACTGCAAGGTTATGGACACCAGAAGAAAAAAAAAATTTGAAGAGAGGAAAACGTTGAAATGCAACCCACAGGGACTACAATAGTCTGGGACTCAGTAAGTTATTTCAATTTGACCACTGTTACCAACTTTAATCTCCTTCTTCCATGCTGTGTCACTTTTGTATTACCCAAAACTATGATAGAACTTCTTTGGGGTAGAGCCACTACCGCCAATCGTTTTAAGTCTAAAAACCAGTGGATAGTAGGTGCTTGTGAACTCAAGTAAAAAGTTATACTTCTACGCAATTATATGGCAGATAATATAATTATCAATTTATACATCCCTTCTAGAAAACGATAGTGTGTACAAACGTGGTGCAATTATCGTTAAAATTAATATACCTACGTTACTTCGGCAAGGTTTCGATAAATATTTAAATATTCAATGAGTAAAGGATTATAAACAATAAAGAAACGCACAATACAACAAAAATAATATATAAGCTGGCAAGTAAGACACAGTGCGCTTCTATTGAATCTTCCGGTAATTTCAGAACAACTTTTTACTGCCTACGCTGATTGAATCTGTAACGTCGTGCTCACATCTATTACGTGCGATCCCACACTTATACCTCGTCCATATTTAATACTAAGAACAGAATTGTACGTAGACAATTAGGAAAAACCATTCTGTAGTATAGCTTTTTTCAATAGGATAGTATTACATGCCAGTGAATCACCCTTTAGGACGTTCATCACACATAGGTTTCTTGACCGATATTATTCGAACAGCAAATATATACTAAAATACTATGGAAAATACCAAAAAACATTGCAGCTCCTTTGACTGCGCCATTTTTATATATATATACGACAGATTAAGTAATCGATACTTTAGATGTAACATTGTGATAATTAAGGTGAAATGGCATTAACGTTAAATCTGGTAATTTTTTGGGTACAAAAGATTACTTTAAGATAAACCTATTAAACTCTTGAATACACCCACAAATTGGTTTTTAAATCAGTTTGAGAGAGTATAAGAAGTATGTGTAAAAGTATGTGTGTCAGTATATCCACATGTGAAAAACAATTGGTAACTTTACAGTACATTGAAGCGTTCCTCTTACTTTTCTAAACTTTTCTCCCACAAACTATGTAAAGAGCATCCTTAAGTTAAAAAATCACTTTAATTACGAATGAAAAAATTTTATACGAATAAAACACAATAAAAATTAGTAATTGTATTTGTGCTATACAAAAAATTTTTTTTTAATTTTTCCAAATTAAAAGAAACATGAAAAATTATGTAAACAATTATTTATTTATTTTAAAAAGTAACAAACTAATAATAAGTAGATAAAAAGTTATTATTTTATAGTTTTAAAGTTGCTCTACTAATAATACTCATTTTGAAATTTTTGAAGCATGTACTTAAAAACATGTTATTTAATGAACTATCTATTTAATAAATATACAATATAACCAAATAAATTGATACACAAAAAATAAAAATAAAAATTTACTTGTAAAATAAGAAAAGAACTGTACGACAAAATAGAGTAATCTAGTTCCTTATATCGGGCACACTAATAGCAGAGTGGATTCTAACAATACTGCCTAGGTTTCAAAGGCATCTTTCAAACCTGTATGAAAACTGTTATTTTTTTCTTTTTTTTTTTTTTTTTCAGAATTGGATTGAAAAAAGAAAAAATTTATAAAAGTTAAAATGTTGTTATGAAGAAAGCTAAAAGTATGTCATGGGAGGTGGGGAAAATCAAGCAAAGTCTTTTTCCAACACACTTTTTTTCTAGGTTAAAGTTTGAAATCGTTGATTTACCCTCGCGCATAACGCATCGATGGAAGTATAAATTAAACAAAAATTAGGGTCTTTGAGAAACATTAGGCTGTATTTTTTGAAAATGGCACTACATGCTCAATGCTTTCTCTATCTGATAAGTAAGTGTGCTTATTGCGGTGTGGATCTAAATTTGAGTCTACAAGCCCTTGACATCTTATTTTTGCAGCCCTTCATCTCTTTTCAGTGTAAAACATCTTGGAGATAATGTTTTCAGGCATTAAGGCCGTACCGGCTCTGTCTACTAAATGCTGTGGCTTTTGATGGAAACTCTTGTACACAAAACATGTGTGGGTTTGATGCTATTATCCAACACATTGTGGTAGGTATATATGACAGAAGCTATCACTGCCAAGCAAAGAAGATTTTTATGAAATCGACTTTGCGCAGAAAGTAACTGAATCAGGATGTCACTGACCTCTTCATCCTGTTTCTATACCCATAATCACAAATTTAGTACGGGCCAAAGCGTTTGTCTGCTCTTACCAGCCTTATCTCACTCCTCTCCTGTTGCTACATCATCAACTTTTCTCTCCACCTGTTACCATCGCTTACATCCCTAAAGCACAAGAATTCTTTTTACCGTTCCAGCACATGCAACACGACAGAGATTAATCGCGCTATCACCAGAATAGTGGTGGACTAATCCGTGTAGTAGGTGCATACAACTCTTAGAGATCCAATGCACTGCAATAAAGTGAAGCACTTTTGGACATACAGTCTTGCCAGCACGACAGCCTACACCGACGCACGCGACAGCAGTACTAAGTTAGAGAGCAATGCAAGGATCCCTTTTTTAAGGTAGTGGTAGAGGTAGTGGTAGTTCTAGTGTTTTTTTTCTTTCTTTTTTTCCTTTTTTGTGGAGGGAGAGTACATGCATTGGGACACACCATAGGGACAGCGATCGTGTAGGACTCAGTAGATTTTTTTTATAAGACCACCCATACCCAGAAATCCCCTCCGCAAATGCTGGGTGGCTTTAGTTCTACCCCAGAACCACGTTAGCAGTATTACTTCAGGGTGGAGCCATCAGGGACCTCACCACATCTTACAGCATTAACAAGCAAGCTCGCCACTATTTTTGAGAGCTGCCAATATTCTTAAGTCCTGAAAAGAACTCGGGGTCCCTGAGGACTAGCACCCTAAATTGAGCTTCATAGAAGGCTGCTTATTCAGCAAGCGCCTCTATAGGCTTGATGCGTTCCCTTGCTAATAGGTAGAAGTACTTAGCGCAGCGAGGATCCACATTAGCCCACCTTTATACTCAAGGTCTTTTTCCTTATTTGCATCCTGCTTGAGCCTTTTTTCTCTCCTCTTCTAGCGCCTTTCTGAACAGCGGGCAGCTCTCACTGCTGGCTTCGTGCTTGTTATCTATCGTTGGACAGGGACCGTTCAGGGCCTGGACACTCTTTCTTTCGGTGGTTGCAACTTTCACACTGGAAGTGAAGCTTGGACCTATTTCCTTTTTTATAGCTACCTGAGACATGTCCATATCCCATTCATTTGTAATATTTTGTTACTTTAATTCTTCGTCAGATTTGGCAGCTTACAAAGCCAACTTTTAACCTTTCTTAATCCTCTAATTGTCCAGCAGTTACTTTGTCCACCGCTATCAACGCCATCCTCTGTCATCTCGTATTTGGTTTTAAGAAAGCTGGGTTAGACTCCTGGCTATTAAGTTCAAAAGCCTTAAAAAAAAGGCTCTTTAACTTCGTCTTTCTCGACAATAGCGTCCAGGTCGTGCACCTCTAGTGTCACTCTTTTGGTGCTTAGTTTGACCGTTCCCTGCCCAGCTACCGGCTTTTCAATTTGCTATGACAATGAAATCGCATCCTCTACACATTCTTATTTTATAAGTATGTCTCCTTTTTTTGAGCTGACAATATTTTGAACTGTGGCATTCACCTTGTCCGGGTCTAAGTTCGCTTTCGTTGACTTCAGCACATAAACAAAGGTCCACCCTTCGACCATCTTCACCAGTACGGTTATCATCACGTCTACTTTGTTTTTTTAGCCTTCTTGGTCGTTTGGGAGAACCTCTTCTTTTTGACCTCTGTCTCTTTTCTTTTTCTGAGTAGAAAATAACTTGTTGGCTTTTTTCATGGATGTCTAATGGACTCCTGTCTCTTTCAACTCACTCTATTTTCTTAAAGGCAGTATTCAGGGTTATTTTCTAGACTTGTCGTTAGGAATTTCTATACGCTGTTCCCTGTATTGCAAAGATTGGAAGCGATCCTTTCACCAATTAAAAAATTTCTCTTCTGTAAAAGAGATATCGTTTCTAGCCTTCTGGGCTAATTTCAGGGGTTCAAGTGCAGCTTTAATGCCGTTTTTTATATCATTAGCAATATTCCCATACTTCTGGCTTACAGCTTTGAGCATTTTCAAGCTCACTTGTTGCAAGTTGAACTTGCTTAATTTTTTCATTTCGCTTTGCTCTCAGCTATGTACCATAATTTTCTATTGACTCGAGCTCCTCCTGGATCTGGTTGCTAAATACTGTCACGTAACTGTCGTCTCTAACAATACTGCCTAGGTTTCAAAGGCATCTTCTTCGTCCTGGTTCTATAACAACAGGCCATAAAATATTTAACAGTCCCTATTGTCCGTAAGACACATCTTTGTGCCCCCCGCCCCCAAGTGTCATGACAAGGTCTTACAGCCCCTAGAAGGTGTTCTAGTGGAGTAGTATTAGTTGTAGTTGTAGTAATAGTAGTACTGGTGGTTATTGTGTTAGGAGTAGTGGTGGTGCATGCATCACACACTCTCACTAAACAAACACAGGGACACTTACGAATTGTTTTGGGTTGCATGTGGCGGGTCCTTTTCCGGGCTTGCGTTGGAGACCTGACGGCGGGTGAAACCGGATAATGAGGCCCAGGTGAGTCTGGGTAACCACATCTGATATGGCTGTACGCCTCATAAGCAAAAAAGACGTGGTGGGCCGACTAATCTAGGCTTACTACCAATGAGGAGGCTATATGGCGGCACCTTAGTGTCTTGTGCCAGCCCATTTTGTTGGGTTGTTTGCGCGGTCGTGGGACTGTACACCTGCCGCTCGTCTCGCTGGGATAACCGTTGTGTACCAACACATACATACAGTACACACGAACACCATTCTTACAATTGTTACTCAATGCCAGGGCAGACTCCGCGGCTGGGACTGAGGGAGAGTGGCAACTCCTGGCCGGACCGAGCAAGTAGCGGTTCTCTTTGGTAGCAGAGGGCTGCTGCCCTGGTTTTAACACTTTTCAAATACTTATTTCTAGAAAAAAAGGGTAGTGCTAGCCTTCGCGGGTTAGTACGACACTCAAAAAGATGCCAAAATGAAAAACGTCAAAGCAAAACTAGTACCCCAGGCGGTAACGTCTCTGAGAAAATCCGCTGGCAGTTCCGATTCGGTGAAAGCCCGGGTGACTGTCGCAGGCCCCACGGATTCTGGGGAGGGGGGGGCCAAAAAGACGTGTCTTATGGCCAACAGGGACTGCTAAATGTTCCATGGCCTTTTCTCACAGACAAAGGACGAAGACAAAGCCTGTCTAGTATAGGCACTAACAACACTGAGGACAGCAACGTGTCAGTATTTAGCAAACAGACATGGTAGGATCTTACCTTCTTAAAAAAAAGTGTCACTATGATCAGAGTGAATCAACAGCAAATTGCTGATGGAGTCCAATCAGCAACGAAAGACATTACAGAGACGCTACAAATAATTAACGATAAGTATGGCAACACAGTAAACGCTGTTAAAAATGAGCTCAAAGCCACGCTTAAGCATCTTTAAAAGGCAGACGTGCTAAGAAAAGGCTGTCTTACTAAATAAGATGTGTATACCAACGCTTGGAAGTCGTCATTTAAATCTCTGCAGTGGAGGAAACAAAGGCGAGATAATTTTAGTGGCATGTACAGAAAAAAAATTTGAATACTGCCCTAAAATAATAGAACGAAGTAAAAGAAACAGGAACCCATTGGAAAGCCTTGAGAAACTCCAGAGGACTATATCTTCAAAGAAAAAGAAAACAGGCAGTGGCAAACAAGAAGAAATTCCCCTGAATGACAAAACAAGCCGGAATAAAAAAGTAGACGCCACAACAACAGTAGTAGTGAAGATGGCTGAATGAAAAATCTTTGCAACGGTGCTGAAGACGATCAAGGCGAACTTTGACCCTGATAAGACTAACGTGGCAGTCCAAAGTGTTGTCACAACAAAACAAGGAGACATACTTATTAAGGCCAAAGGTGTAGAGAATGCTACTGCATTCTCACAGTAAATTGAAAAGTTGGTAGCTGGACAGGGTACTGTCAAAATGAGCAACAGAAAAGTGACATTAGAGGTCCGAGACCTGGATGCCATTGTAGAGGAAGATGAGGTCAAAGAGGTTTTTGCTAGGACTTTTGGACGTCAGAGCCAGGAGCCATAAGTAGCTCTTTTAAAGCCAAATGCCAGAGGACAGAAGCTGGCTTAAATAAAGGTGAACGAAGCATCTGACAGACAAATAGGAAAGCAAGGGAGGTTACGAGTTGGCTTTGTAAGCTGCTGAATTCGAAGAAAAATTGAAGTAACAAGATGTTACAAATGCCTGGAATATGGACACGTCTCAGGCAACTGTAAGAACGAAAACAGATCCAAGCTTTGCTTCTGGTATGGAAGCTTAAACCACCGGAAGAAAGAGTGTCCAGGCCCAGCACGGTGCTTCCTTTGCCCAACAACGGAAAACAATCACGAAGCAGGCAGCGAAAGCTGCCCTCTATTTAGAAGACCCCTATAAGAGGCCAGGGATAAGGCCCAAGCAGGATTAAAATAAGGCAAAAACGCCTTGAGTATAAAGACAGGCTAATGTGGACCCACGCTACGCTGGGTACTTTTTACCTATCAGCAAGGGAAAGCATTAAGCTTATAGTGTCGCTGGATAAGTAGGCAGCCTACTATGAAGCGCTAGCGAAGGTGCTGGTCCCCAGGCACCTCAAGTCCTTTTCAGGACTCTAGAGCATTAGCACCTCTAGCAACGGGTGGCAAGTTAACTCGTTAACGCTGTGAGACGCGATGTCTCCCCCTTGGCTCCACCCTGAAGTAATGCTAACGCGGTGCCAGGGTGGATCAAAAGCTACGTGGCATGGGGGGGGGGGGTTCTAGTGGGTATGGGTGGTCTAATAAACAAAATGCACTGAGTTCCACACTACCGCTGTCCCTGCGGTGTGCCTCAATGCATTTTTCCTCCCTCCACAAAAAAAAAAAAAAGATTGGTGGTGGTACTAATGGACGTAGTAGTAATCATAGTAGTAGAGACAAGATTCATTATTTTTTGAGAATTAGAATTAAAATTATTTCTGATGGTATAAGAAGTTGTTACGATAGCTGCACGTACTGTTGTTGTTGTAGTAACGTTTGTAAAAGTTAAGGACATTTGTATGTCTTTATTTTTGACTCACTTTTATAAGTAACCTTTAATTAATTATCACAGTTCCTTTTTTATGTATTTTTTTTTACGGTTTAACTGTGGATCTCTAATATGCGCAAATCTATTATTTTTTATATGTTTTTTTTTTCATTTTTTATTATCACCCATCTTATCTTTTTTTTTAATCTTCAGAGTACAGTTGCTTTTTGTTATAACTGGCATTTTTTAAGTGGCACTATTCTGCATTATGTTTTTTAATGTTTTCATTAGATACCATGTTTCACAAGTAATCAGGAACAGAATACCTTTTTTCAAATCAATTGTCTGCATTTTTCTTTGAAACTATTCTAATTTTAGTTTTTTAATGAGTTTTTTAATAGTGCTTAGGATTGAGTATTTTTTTCATTAATAGACTTACATGTATTAGTAATGTTTTTTTGTCTTATTTTATTAATATTAGGTTCTAGAAGAAAAAAAAAACTTACCTTAGAATGAAAAGCATGTCCAAACACTATATCTAGTTTTTCTGCGTACATTTGTGACTTTCCCGTTTCTGTTGCAAATAGAATTGTTGCCTTTATTCTTCTTGACAATGCTCTTCCAAACAGCTTTGACGTAAACTTCACAGCTCTTTCATTAATATTAATTTTAGTACAGAAAAAAAAACTTAATTTGTTTTCATAAAATAAAAAGATTTTTTTACCGTGCAATTTGTTTAAAGTGAAATTTTCTGCGAGGTTTCTGAAATACAAGGTCATGGTTAGCTCCCTTTCTCCATTTATGGGTCTTCCATGCTGGTTCCTGCAAAAAAAATCAGTAACTAAAAATCTCGTTTTATCATGTCTCTAATATCACAAACAGGTTTATTTTTAGTGATTCATTCTTTACTACACATCATATGAGCTATTCTACAACGAGAAACATCAAGGTCCATTTCAATTATATCATAATTTAATAATCACTAAATGGTTAATAATAGCAAAATAATGTACAGCTTTATGAACTATTAAATTAAAAAAATATTAATGAGAAGTAACTTATACTCATTCTTTTTAAATTACTGGAAAACTACATTATTTCTATTTTGTAAGCAATTAGTTTCTTACATGAAAGCAGATCAAAGAGTTTTTTAGATCTAACAGTGTCTTATTATAAGTCAAAAAAGTCTTTATTGACTTAAAATACATTCCAGCAAAGTTTTAAGCTTTGTTATAGCTCGTACAATATACTTTTTTCGTTACAACAGTGTATTTACTATGACGCACTTACAGTCAGTAAAATTTATAGTTATCAGGGTATAACTAAGGTAGGAGACAGTGATGTCACAAGTTTTGCAGAAAATGTATTTACTTGTAGGCTTGACACTTAAACTTGGATTCTACTACAATATGTCCTTCATTCCTTAATAGTACAATGACAGACAGCAAAGTCATTACTGATATTACTGTGAGGAAAAAGCACCATAGATATTTTTTATTTAAATGCATTTCACAATAATCTTTTAAGCAGAACAAGCAAATGTAACGAGAAAATATTAGCACTTATTAAAAAGCAAAGTAAGCCTGTGCTCGTCAGGAAGAACATAATTGCATTCCCCTTTTTGAGTAAGCCTTTAATAGGTTTCTCGAAATGCACAATTCAGTTATAAATTCTACCTCTTGCAAAAAATACTTTAAGCATCGATCTCTTAATTAATATTCTTGTGTCACAGAAATTAAATGTTAAGTTAGCTTTAATCTTTAAATCCTAATTATTAAGGTAGCTCTACATGTTTTATATAAAAATATAAGGACAAAATTTAATTTTATCTATGAGTAAGAGTTAATGCGTATAACTCAATTTATTGATACTTTGCCATCTCGTACAAGATTGCCAAGGCAGCTCAACTTTTTCAGTGAAAACTACGATTCAAAGAAAAATTATTGTACTTAGCAAATAGAATAAATGTGCCATCTCGAGTAGGATTTGAACGTGGATCTCTTTTCTTGTTAGGAAAACACATAACCAATTTTGCCACTGAGGTCTCGGCGACTACTCTTCTCAATTGCTACATTATATACTTTCAGCGATTTATTAGTCGACGCCTACTCATATGGTACGTAGGAAAATTAAAACTTATATAAATTTTATCAATGGGCTAGTATAAATGCAGGTAGTTAAGTTTATCAACATTTTTTCATCTAGTATGAGATTGCCTAGGCAACTGAATTTATTCAGTTAGAGCTACGATCCATAGAAAAATAGTTATATGTAGCAATTGTAAAAAAATTGTAAAGGCGTCAAATGAAACATTGCTGAAAGTATATTTTATAACAATTTAAAAGAGGAGTCACCAAGACCTCAGTCGTGCAATTGGTAACATGATTTTTGGGAAATAAATGAGGTTCAAGTTTAAATCTCGGTTAAGGCGGCATTTCTTTTACTTGCTACACATGACAATTTTTCAACGAATTGTAGATTTAACTCAAAAAATTCAGTTGCCTTGGCAATCTTGTACAAGATAAGCAAATGTCAATAAATTTAATTACTCAGATGAATACTAACCCATCAATAAAATTAGATAAATTTAAAATGTTATTATTTACCATATGAGCAGGCATTGGTTGAAAAATGAACAAAAGTATAAAATGTAGTAATTAAGAAGAGGATTCACCAAGACCTCGGTTGCAAAACTGGTAACGTTCTTTTTTGGCAAGAAAAGAGTTCCTGGTTAAAATCCTGGTCAAGGTGGCATTTTTAATTTAATTCTACGTATGTCAATTTTTCTATGAATCCTAGCTTTAACTGAAAAAGTTGAGTCAGCTTGGTAATTTCGTACTGAAAGGAAAAATGTCGATTAATTTACGTAGTGTCTATTCGCACCGAAACGCACCGTATATCCACGTAATAACTTGGATATAGTGGATACGCATGCACAGTGGGCAGCTCTACTGTCCGGTACTTATAGGGTCCAAGTTCTTTTTTTCCAATGGAATGAAGATGAAACAGTTACAAAAATACTTTTTCCGTCTTGTAACAATAAAATATCACTTTACCGCTTGATTTAAGGTATTTCGGCAAAAAAGTAGTTTACAAATTAGTTTAAGAAGGCTTTTTTGTGCTTCTCATTATGGCCTTTGCTTCGGCTTGTGCTCTCAACTTCTTGGCTCGTAAATTGGAGTTTTACCAATGCTTATGTTAAAAACTATTAAATGCTAAATTGTATAAGAAAGACGAAAAAATTTTTTTTGTTTCATTTGTAATATGAAAACAAAATTTCACTATTTAAAAATCACCAGGGTTATAAAATGAAGTAATTAGAAATAATAGTCACCAAGACCTTCGTGGCAAAATTCAAAATTAGTAACGCGCTTTTTCAAGAAGTAAAGAGTTCCAGGTTAAAATCCTGGTCAAGGTTACATTTTTAATTCAATTCTACGTATGACAATTTTTCTATGAATTGTTGTTCTAACAGAAAATATTTGGTCACCCTGGTAATTTCGTACTAAAAGGAAAAATGTCAATTAATCTAATTGCTTGTAGCTCTGCATGGTTATTCTAAGAAAAAATAGATTCTTATGATGAATTCATCAAGGAAGAAGATACAACAGTTACTAAAAATAATTTTTTCCGTCTTGTAACTGTTAAATACCACCCTTATCGTCTAATTTCAGGTATTTAGAAAAAAAAATTATACAAATTCATTTAAGAAAGCTTAATTGTAATCCTGGTTATGGCCATGGCCTTCGGCTCATGCTGTGAATCTCTTGGCTCGTAAATTAAAGTTTCGCAAATGCTTGTGTTAAGAACTGTTGAATGCTAAATTGTATCGTAAAAGAGACGTCAAATTTTTTTTTGTTCTTCATATATTATATAAAAAAAAAATAGATATTTAAAAAGACAACAGTCTTCATACTTCTCACTAGTAGGAACTTTTAGGTTGCAAAATTAAAATTGCTACAGAATTTAATAGAGACATTTTTGCTATATTTTTCTTGCTATAAGTTAGTGTTAGTATTTAAAGCAATTAATGTGGTCACACAATGGTGTTATATTATAATTTATGTTATTTATGAATAGTCTTGTAAATTATTTATATTAACACAATCGCTCACAAGAATTACAGTTACAAAGTTGTGAAAATTGTTTTGTATATAAGTAAGACAGATGTTACGTAGAAATACTATCACTTATTTTTTGTCCTTTTTCTTCAAAGTTTTCCATGCAAAATTAGAAAAAAATCATTAAAAGCAGAGACCAACATGCATCTCACAAGAAGTAGATCACCTGCAAGTTTGCTCAAAGATGCGGTACTATATCCAAACATGACTCACGCACTGTATGCATGTTGGCATGTGCTCACTAGTCATTGAAAGATTTCAAAATATTTTTTGCTTGTATAAACAAACTATGGAAGTCAAATAATACAAAAGCTTAACTAGAAACTGCTGCACTCATAAATAATAATTAGGAATCCAAACTTCTAGATTAGGTTAAATATAATTGAATTAGATAAATATATAACACACACAAGTGCTCACTACGATGAGGGGTCATACCCAAATGCCGTATATTGTTTAATGGGAGGGCTGTTTGGTAAAATCGTACGGATGTTTACGCTGAGGGAGGGGCTTGGCAATAAGTTTACATGTGGCTAAAAACTCTTTCTCTATTTTGAGATACTTGCTTTTAAACTTTTTTTACTTAACAGTTGACGTACACAAATCTTATATTTTATTTAAAGTCACTTTTTCCGAAACTGTACTATGATTTTTGTTAATGAAGGTATTCTTTAAAAACGTTGCTAAATATAGTGATGCTCATATTTATACTTATTATGACCAAATTTGCTTTGTTTGCTTCATCTTAGAAAATTGTCATTTTAACATAACAAAAAACTATATTTTTTTGGTATTTAAAAACAATTAGTTGATTATTAAATTGTTTGAAATTTTTTAAAAAATGTAGAAAAAACATTTCACTCAACGTTACTTTCGTTATAGGAGTAGATTTCTTCTGATTGATATAAAGCTCTCATGCAGGAGAATGGGTCAGGAAATTGAAAAAACTATTCATCGCATTTGGGTAGGACCCTTAAGTCAAATAGACCAAGTATCCTAAACTTTAAAAAAATGATCTCATTTTTTTCGCTCATTTCTGTAGATATGAAAGATGTAGAAAGATTGACCGAGTTGTCTCCTTCTTCCTCACATGAAATTATACAAGCCATCTGCAGAATCCTTATTTAGAATCTTGTTAATTTTTTTTACTTTTTTACATCCTAACTCAGAGATATTAAATAAGACAATTTCTACAGTTGCTTTCTATACAGGTAACGAAATTTCTGAAATCTCAGAGCACGATGAGACGAGGGTCTCTCCAACGACTAGCACAAACAAAAAAAAGTTAATTAAATGCTACTATCATTTTAAAGTTGCAGGGACTAGACACGTAGGGCCCCAGCCGGGAGCGAGGAAACGCGAAAATGCCCGAATACAGACATCGGTTTCGGCGACTCACTACAGAAAAGGGAAAAGCAGAGAGAGGCTAGAGAGAAAAGACGTGATTGTCATTCAGAAGAAGAGTTCCTCATGAACCGGACCTAATTAAGTTGAACGATTGAGGGGTGCTCAGCAACCACTGTCTCTCTTCTCTGTGTCCTCTCCGGAAACACGGTCTTCTTCATCCCAAGCCTCTCACCTGTGCCTGTTTTCTCTTCCCAGTCTGCGTGAGTAAAAGGGGGCTATCTAATAGGCAATTAAAAGAAGTTCGTGAATTATTATTACGATAATTCCTCATCGCAGAAGCAATAAATCCCTTGC